CCTGCAGGCCTGATCACCCTCCAACTGTCCTCCCCTGCAGGCCTGGTCCCTCCAAACAGCCCTCCCCTGCTGGCCTGATTGCCCACAACTGCCTTCCCTTGCAGGCCTGGTCCCTCCCAACTGCCTTCCCCTGCTGGCCATCTTGTGGCAGCCATCTTGTGTCCACATGGGGGCATCCATCTTTGACCACATGGGGACAGCCATCTTGTGTGTTGGAGCGACAGTCAATTTGCATATTACTCTTTTATTAGGTAGGATAGAGGCCTGATGCACAGGTGGGGGCTGGCTGGTTTGCCCTTAAGGGTATCCCAGAGCAGAGTGGGGGTTCCCTTGGGGTGTGGGACAGCCTGGGTGAGGGGCTTGTGGTAGTTTGCAGGCCTGCCTCATCCTCCGGCAACCCAAGCATAGACTGGAAGCAGGTATCTAGGATTTATTTATCTTCTATAATTGAAACTTTGTAGCCTTGAGCAGAGGCCAGGGAAGGCCAGGGCTGCAGGAAGCTTGGCTTCCTCCATCGCTGGGGCAACCCAGCCTCCTGCTTGCTCCATGGCTGCTGCCATCTTGGTTGGGTTAATTTGCATACTTGCTCCTGATTGGCATGTTTCTCTTTTATTAGATAGGATTCTTTTACATTGGCTATCTCACCTAATAGTCTAATGTCTCATTCATTCATAATGTTTAATGGGAACATATTTAAAGTAAAGTGTGTTACAGAGTCATAAATATACTTTACAGTTCTTTCCATGGTGCTGTTACTCTAAGCCTTTCAAGCACTCAGCAAGTATCACGTAAATGAGCAATTTGAGGCATTTACTAATGAAGTCTGACATTTCCCCTGTGGAAGATGTGTGAGAATGACCGAATCATTGCTGCTAATGCACACTGCTCTATGATGGACAGTCTTTGGAAATTTGTCTCAACCACATCAAAACAGGTGCATAAGCAAGTCCTGTACTGTGAAATCCATACTGTGGGCTTTGAACAACGGAACCTGCCAGTCCAGTGCTGTTCAAAAGAAACAATATGAGCCATGTGTGTGTGACTTCCTATTTTCTAGTAGTCACATTAAAAAAGCTAAAAGAAACAGTTGAGATTAATTTTAATAATATATTTAATCTAACTCAAAATGTCTAAAAGTAATATTTTAATATGCAAATAATATAAAAAAGTATTAATGAGATATCTTACATTATTTTCATTCAAAATCTTACAAATCCTTCATGAGTTTTACACTTGCAGTACATCTCAGTAGCGGCTAGCCACATTTCAAGGGCTCAATCACCACATGTGACTCATGGCTACCATATTGGACAGCACAGCTCTAGTCGTTCCCACTTGGACAGCACCAGAGGGCAGCAGTGTGGTGTAGAGAAAAAAGACAAAAGACTAATTTGTAATCCCCTGTCTGTTCCTGGCTCTAACATATGTTATTGATGTGACTGTGAACAGCTGATTTAGTTTCTCTGGGTCTCAAATTCCTACTCTCTATAATGGAGCTTGTTAATAACTGCCATGCTCCTCACAGGAGGCTGTGGAAAAGATTAAATAAGAGATTATATGTGAAAGTGCTTTGTTAGATCATAAAGCACAATACACATGTAAGGCATTATTACCCCTTTTATTGTAGATTTACTCTCATGACTTGCCCAAGGCCACATTCCAAGTGGGTAGGAGAATCAAGGATAGAATCTGGGGTTTCTGACTTCCTGCCATCTGCTTCAACTAAAGGCTGTTCATACCAGCTGGTTTAAAAAAAACAAAAACAAAAACAAACAAACAAAAAGCCCTCCTCCAAAACCCAAACACTTTTTATTAAAAAAAAAAAAAAAATGGGGAAGGAAGAGAGTGACAGTAAGAAATAAATTCCATATTGAATAGTTAGGATCTTCTTGGCCACTGCCATAATATTCTACATACAGGATATTTATATACCTATACATCAGAATTACAACTATCAACGATTGGACTTTACTACTGTCATATAATATAAACTCCCATGTTCTTCAAAGTTTAAAAGAACTTCTAAATTGAACTGTGGTTTACCCACTCTATTTATCTCCAAAATATGGTATGACCACAAGAAAGTCCTTCCGTAGTTGGTTTGATTAATAAAACAGATATGGATCAATGCAGCAGATTTTCCACGGATTATTCTTGATTACAGATGTAGCTCATTAATCCCATGTGTGAGACATCACCTCTCAGTGCAAATCCAAGAGACACAGGAGTCTCTGAACAGAAAGTGAGAATAATTCAGTTCAATACATGTTTGTTTATGCTTACTGTGTATAAGGCACATTAGATATTTTCACGAGCAAAAAGAGTTTATTACTATGATAATTGTCACTTAGAGAGATGTAATTTAACTTGAGAAAAATACAGAATATATTTACCAAAATGTATATGTTTTGTGATTCAGAAATCCGTATTTTCAGGAAGTAATAAGATGATCAGAAAGGAAATTCTAGATTATTAAAAAATAATTTAAAAAGTCATGTCCTTTACTTTTGTGAGGGCACACAGTTATCATGCTCCATTTCCATTTTCCCTAATTTTAATCCTATCATGGTTTTCATATTTAATTTTGAGGGGTCATTTTTTACATTTGTTTCAAATGAATTTTTTCACAGAACTTAAAAATCACATAAAATATTTACAGTTTTATACTATGTAAATTAAGCATAAGCCAAGTTAATTTTCACTGAGATGAAAACTATACATTCAAAAAGTTCATTCTTATTCTTTCTTAAAAATGACTTTCAGTTTGTTATTTTTAATTGGAAAACTATCAACTGTAAGCTTTGGGCCTGCCTGAATTGATGACCATGTTGAATCAATGAAATTTTTACTTTCATTGCTGTTCACTATTGAATGAAATAGTTTATTGAGTAACCTTTACTTTTTATTGTTTTTGCACCCCAGCTTAAAAACAAGGCTTACTTTTTAAAAAGTCTAATAAATGTATTTTTTATATTTTCACCATAACTTTACAAGCAATTTATCTCCTCTGTTCTATAATAACCACCTTCTGCATCTTTATGATTTAGTTTAACATTATTACTGTAATTTTTTACTGCGTGAGCCCATTCGTGCCTTTGGCAGCAAGATTTTGTTACAAGAGATTCAGAAGCTGAGCCTGCCATTGGTTACAACAATTATGAAGTTTCCCTGGATTGGGACCAGAGCCTTACCCTGACATTTTGACTGTAACGGGACGACTGATGCCTTCATCAGAGTCTCCAAATATGTGATAGGCTTGAGTTCTATATATATCAATGGTTTTGCATTATAAGTATTTCATTTAACTAACATCTGGCCTTGATAAAATCCAGCCAATAATTAGTGAAACCTGTAATAAAAATGTGATACCTTATGAGAGTAATTGACATATTTGAATTTCTCCAGAAACTCAGGATTGATTCATTCTAGACCAGATGTGGTCATGTGGCATTAACTGCAGATCTTCTTGCTATGCTTTTCTTTTGGTTCAAGGGTACCTCCAGCAAGAACACAGAAATGTGAGGAATCTTAACTACTCACACTTTAAATTACTAAATAAAATTAAATAGACTATAAAGAGTCATTGTACTATTCAATATTCGGAAATATTGAGCTGTGTGTCCAAAAGTCACACTTAACCAGGAAATAGTAATAAACATAAGATGGATGTGGATATTATGAGATAATGTCTACTCGTCAGAAACAGATGGCATTTTTCCCCCCATCAAACTTAAAAAGTTAACAATATACTTCATATATTAATTTCTCATCATGAGAGATTAATGCAGGGACAAAAGAGATTCTGGTATACTGTTAACATTTTTCACTGTGAATATATTCAGTATCATCTATACTAATAAAAGGGTAATATGCAAATCAGTCAAGATGCCCTCACCCCAGGCTGCATGGGGTGACCAAGGCCAGCAGGGGGGTTAGTGAGGGACAGCCAAACAACTGAACAGAAGGCTGTGTGGGGCGACCAGTTCGGAAGTGGGGGCAGGTGAGGGGCAACCAGGCTACAGGGGGGCCAGTAGGGGCAACCAGGGAGGTGTGTGTGGGGCCTGTTGGGGGCAATCAGGCCAGCAAGCAGAGGTGGTTAGGGGTTATCAGGCATGCAGGCAAGCAGGTGAGCAGTTAGGAGCCAGCGGTTCTGGATTGTGAGAAAGATGTTTGACTGCCGGTTTAGGCCCTATCCCCAGGCCTAAACCAGCAGTCAGATATCCCTCAAGGGGTCCTGGATTGGAGAGAGTGCAGGCTGGGCTGTACCCCCCTCCTTCCCCCCATGCACAAATTTCATGCACCGGGCCTCTAGTATGTGAATAAAACCATATGTTATATCATGTTCTGTTTTATATTTGCTAGATTGTCTTAGGAAAATTTAGTACATGCCACTTCAGTCATCTGAAAGGAATCATTTCTTCATTACAACTCATTACTTAAAACTATAAAATATCAGCCAGAAAAAAAATTGGGCCAATTAAGAGAATTTTGATAATTGTCCAAAAAGCACATACTGGTATAGATATGACTGGGAGATGATAAGATTATTTTAATTTTTCCATTTGCATGGGAATTATTTATTTTACAAATCTCCAGATCTTCTATGACTTGAAACCCTCTGCTGAATCATGAAAAGCAGCTCAAGTTAGCAATTTTCATCTGCAAAATCTAGCTGCTAGCATCTGGTGAACACTTGGATAACCTAGTCAGGGCCTATGGAAATGATTATTTTAAGATTCTATTCAACATGCCTGGACTTAACAAACCAGCTAGAATCACACTCTGCACATGTATTTTACTGTCAGGGATTTAAAAACCTGGCATTAGTAAAGATAGTCTAAAGGCTTTTGCAGCAGTGGAGATGGGGATAGGAGATAGGACATGCAGGCAGGCTGGATATCCAAGTGTCTTCCAACTCCTCCTCCCCCATCCCCCAACTTTCCCTGTGCACCACCATCTGCCAGGCCACTGCGATGCCTTCCATTGCTTCTCACACTTACATTTAGACTTGGCTGCCTGCGGAATCAGGACCAGCGTCCTTGCCTGTGCCTTCCAGTGGCACGCCTGGGCCTGGTATCTGCTCCGCTTCCAGAACAGTGTCTGAAATAAAAAACAGGATACTTTTACTCAGAGATTTCCAACCAGGGTGCCTGCAAGAATTTTTAAAACATGCAATACCCCACTATTTAATCAGAGTACTGACCTCTTTTCCCTTAGATTGTTAAATAAGTAAATGACAAAGGCCAACACCACAATAGCCATCTGGTGTGAATGAATCAAAATTATGCCTATTTTTTATGTCAAATGGGCAAAAATATATTTTTTGGTGTGCTGCAGAATTTTTATTAATTAGTTTATATGTGCTATGAGATGAAAAAGGTTGAAAATCATTGCTTTTACTAAATTGGAAAGACAACAAGAAGCTGAATTATCAAAGTGTATTGTTTTTGGATCATAGGAGAAATTACATAATAGGAATTTGTAAATACACATTGAAGTAGAAAATGCTATTATTTGCCAAAATCTAAAAGCACATGTAGGAGATATTAGGGATATTTGAATGCTGTTTAGGAGAGATAATTTTTGTTGTTGTAATATGTGCAAATGTATACTTATTTATTTTGACACATATACTATTTATAGTTTCTGTCCAAATAAATGATTTATTGTATATCTTTATTGCTTTTCATGGTTATATTATGTGCTAAATTCTAACTAAAATAACTCCCATTAATGCAGATTTGAAAATAATTTAGAAAGGATTTGAGCTTTTGTTAAAAAGGAAACCAATTTCTGAGGAAGTTATACCTCTGGGAGAAAAGTTAGGTTCATTTTAGAAAAGTGAATTTTTCCAGCAACACATTTTCCATCTGTCTGCACACAACAGTATTTGAGCTAGAAATTATTCTTAGTTATTTGTCAAATCATATCTGATAGGGCTTTAATTTGGCAGCACTTGTAGGTTTTTATGTGAACTTTTTGTATAATTTAGTTGAAGACACTTTATGAATTATCTATAATTTAGACTTTTTACAAATCATATTGGACTTATTCCCACTTAAATTGAGTTTCAAAAATTTAACTCTGTGTTTTGGATAATACATACTTTATTTTGTTTTGTTACAGTTCATAGAGACGTGTTTAGGAAATATTACCTACATTTGTTGTTAACGATTGATTTAAATTGGAACAACTCCAGACATTCAGATAAACAAAAATATTTGAAAACTAAGATTGATTGATTAGGAAATAATTGCAGAATTGGGTATCCAACTTAGAATTTCTGCAATGTGTTGTAAGTGATCTATTCTAGAGCAGTACTAGCCAATAAAACTTGCTGTGACAATGAAAATGTTCTATATCTGTACTGTTCAACATGGTAGGCACTAGTCACATGTGGCTACCAAACGCTTGAAATGTGACTAGTACAAATATGGAGCTGAAATTTTAGTTCTTTTTAATTTTAATTAATTTGAATTGAAACACCCACTGAGGCTTGTGGCTAGTGGCTACTTTATTGGAAATTGTAGTTCTAAGAGTTTACCTGTATTCGGTATTCAACATGAAGTAAGGAAATGTTTGAGTGTTTTTAGTTGCTGAATGTCTACAAGACATGAGTGTCTCCAAAACACGATGTTCAGGCTCTGGTATGTGGCCTTTCTGCACAAGCCTAAAGGGTGGAAATAGCCGAGTTCTGAACTTTGGCTAAACTTGTACATATTCAGGTATAAATAAAGTTGTGTTGCTCATAGTTGATTTGAAAACATTTTACCTCTGGAAGGCCATGAGATCTCAAATGATCTCTAGAACTAAAGTCCAGTGACATTAAATGAAGTCAAGGTCATGACTTTTCCAGCCCATTTCAGCTAAGGTATGACTGCCGGGTAATGGAGACAGATATCAATGAGATACTTCTATGAACATAGCTGACTCCATGACAAAGAAATTCCAGATTCAGACTGAATAGAAGGACCAGGCTGAAAAATATTTTGGCATCTCTCTCCAAATCATTTTTCAATAAATATTCATTGAGGACTATTATGTATAAGGCACAATGCTTAGGTTTGGAGATAAAATGTTGGGGGCGGGGGATAGATACTGCTCCTGGACTGATGATGATTAATTGCACTAATAATTATATTTTTCCCAAGATCTTCTTCCAAAATTTATTTCCCCCCCTTGGATTTGGTGGAAATAAAGCAGGAGAAAGATACACAGGATACATAGAGACACTGAGGATCACTATTAGGCATGTGTCACACATTTTACTCAATTTACTTCTCTCTGCACAGCTTTCACAGTTCCGCACCCAGATAGATGAAGAAAGCAGTTTCTGAAATGCAATACTGGAAGCAGAGAAAACGACTAAAACCCCCAATTACCATTTTTAGAACATGGGATGAGAAACATTGTTTAGCATTTGAGTGTTTACCACATATTTTTATAAGGGATTCTTTCCTCTCTATGAGCCAGAAGAATGTCCTTTAAAATAATTACCAACTAAAAGACTTTCCTTGCTCTTATGTGATGACACACATTTTTACTTTGCCATTTAAAACATTGTAAGAAAGATTGCTACAATCACTGTTCATGAAATGAATCAAATGACTCAATTTTCAAGCACCCCTGCAAGACCTGAAGGGAATATTAGCTATACAGGAAATATGTAGCTCATTGTATTTCAGTTCATGTTGGAAGAAAGAGCCAGAATGTGGCAAAATACTGAGCAAGAACTATTTAGTCCAATTTCTTTTTTTTCTTCACAGAAAAAAAATGCACAATTAAATGTATGATTCAATCTGCATTTATATGAATTTTCAAATGTATCACTGATGAAAATTTAAGGATGAAAAGGATTAAAAATTAAACTAAATTAATGAAACAATAGTACATGGAACTTAAAGTGGTTAAAGGCCATTAAGTCTTGTCTCCAAATACATTAATTGATAATGTCCCTAATTTTCTAGACAGACACTTTGTAAAACTACAAAGCAATGGAAGAAGGTAAAGGGGAAAAAAGAAATACATTTATTTATATAAATAATTTAGAATCAATTGCAGATAATATGTTATAGAGTTCAAAGGTGAAGGAGAGTTTGCTTTATTCTTTAAAAAAAAAAGTCATATGGGGGTTTTAAAACATGCCCACAGATTCTTTGACCCTCCTCGATATTCACCCCATTGAATCTGGGAGGCCTTGTGCCCGCTTTGACCAATAGAACACAGTAGAGGTGGATGCTATGTAGCGTCTGGTGCCCGGTCATAAAAGGCCACAAAGGTGTTGCCTGATGTGCTGGCACACTATCTTTTCGAGCCCCAAGCTTCCAGGTAAGAGGTCTGAATCCCCTGAGATCATTGTGCAGACACCAGGTAGGTGCTCTAGTTGGCAATGCCAAAGAGCCAGCCTTCCTTCTATCTCTGCCAGACATTACACTTGAGTAGAGCCATGTAGGGCCCTTTAGATCAGCCAATCTGCCAGGTGAGTAATCGTGAGAGCAGGGAAATCTCAGCCAACACCCACACAACTATGAGATAAAATAAGATGTTTGTTGCTTTAAGCCACTAAATATTGATGTGAGTTGCTATGCAGCAATAGAAAACTGGAGCATACCCTCTTGTACGTTGGATATTTTCACAATAAAAAATTTAGAATTGAATATAAAAGACACTCTGGGAGGTTATTTGCCAAAATGGACAAAGAAAGCTTTAGTATCCTTTCTATATAAAGAGAGCCTACAAACACCAAGAACAAAATAGTAATGCTATATAGGAAAATTGGCAATTAAATGAACATATAATTCACAAAAGAAAAATAAAAGGTGAATATGTAAAAAAAGTTCAATCTCATTAGGAAGCAAAGAAAAAGTGAATAAAACAATGGGATTAAAATTTTGGTTATCAAATTGGCAAAGACAAAAATAATATTTAATGTTGGTTTGGGTAAAGTGAGAGTATAAATGGCACAAACTTTTTGTATAATATATCCAGAGCTTTTAAAATATACATTTGACTTTGCTAGGAATTTAGGATTTTAGGTAAGAAATAATCAGAACTGAGGTAAAATATAATTTTTTTTTTTACTAAAGTTCTAATTCTAGGAGCAAAAATATAGAAGTCTAAATGTCCATCAATAAAGTTAAATAGCCCTGGTTGATTATTGCTCAGTGGTTAGAGCATCAGTCTGTGCACTGAAATGACAAGGGTTTGATTCTCAATCAAGGGCATGTATGTTTGATCCCTAGCCCTGGTTGGGGGGGCATGTACAGGAGGCAACCAGTGAATGTGTCTCTCTCACATTGATGTTCCCAAACTCACTCTCTCTCTCTCTCTCTCTCTCTCTCTCTCCCCTTCTTCCTTTCCTCCTTTTCACTCTCTAAAAATCAATAAAAAAATATCCTCAAGTGAGGATTTAAAAAAGTTAAATAAATTATGTATTTTACATTACTGAATATTATTTTATTATAGATTAAAAATGTAAAGATGTATTATTTGCTAATCATGACCTGAGTTATACAACAGTAGCATAGCAAAACTGGGACTTCATGGTCACCCAGACCAGGCTCTGACTCCTGGGTTTGCCACTTACTTTTGCTGGATATTCGCAAATTTGATTTATCTTTCTGAGTTTCAGTTTTAAGAAAATGGGGCTAAACACCTATTCCATTGGGTATAGTAATAATTAAATGAGGTTATATTTATGAAAAAGCATAATAGTTCATCAATTAGTATCATCTCTTTTCTTACTATCCAAGGATACCATCTGAGCTCCATATTCAAATTCACAACGCTTACCAAATTCACTAAAGGTTCTTCTACTCTGGCTCTTTCTACATACCTCTTTACACCACAGTCGAGTCTCTACACCATAGTCAGAGATATTACAAACAAAAATAAGTGAGTCAAGTTCTTGCTTACAATTCTTCAATAGTTCTAAATGCATAAAAAGTGCATCTACTCTTCCCAGTTTCCATCTGCAGATGTGGTCAACTTTGAAAGGTAAATCCAGTCATGCCATTCTCATGCCTAAGATCCTCCAACCCCCACTCTTCTCATCCAATAGCTCCCCATAGCACTTATAACAAAACTAAACTTTTTTTTTT